AGCCAAAAAGGGAGGAGAAATATCTGCCCACCTTGTATCCCACTTCTGTGCTGCCTCCGTTTCTCAGCATGCTCCAAGGGGACATGCAGGAATGTACTCAAGGAGGGGGACAGCTTACAGGACAGTAAAAGAAAGTACTTTGTGCTTCCAGTCCACTGAGGAAATTGCTGAGCTGTTGCTTCTTTAAATACCAGACCCATAGTTAAGCTGAAATGAAGTTTTATTCTTCATTCAGTCCTCTCTAAGTGCATCTCAACCTCTAGTTTAGTTTTAATGCAGCCAAATGTGCTGAAAAATAGCAGCTAGAATTTGCCTTCCATCCAAGGGCATGACAGTGGTAGTGTCTTTTGGGTATTCCTATATTTAAAATACAACCTTTGTCAATCCAGTATAATCTACCTTTTTCATTTCTGTCTTACAAACCATCAAGATTGTTTTTGTCTTCAGAATCTCTTTAGAAGCTTCAGCTCCTCAGCTTTTTGCAGCACAAGAAACCCAGAGAGGGATTAGAAACTAGTAACATGTTGGTAATCACAATCATATATTTTAATCACTGAAGTACACCCTCAAATTACAGTATTCCAAGCAGAGACCAAGTAGTGTAAGGCCAGTACTTGAGCTCCTGACATCACACTTTGGCTCTTAGAGTTGTATACTCCTGTGCAAAGTAGATGCACGCTACTAGCATGAGTCTCCTCTAAATAGTAGCGGCTGTTTGCCATCTTTCTATAAAACCAAATTTTCTCCCCAAGACGGAGAAAAGGAGAGGAAGACTCAGTACAATGGATTGAGAAAGGTAGTACCAAAGCTAACAGCCTTTTTTCAAAGGAATATTTTACAGCGATTTAAATCCACTCTGTGTTAGCTTTGCAGGACTGCCATGTTTGGCTAGGTAAGCTGCCTAGTCTGCAGTAACACAGTACACCAAAGATTTTAGATAATTTCCTTTTTTTTCCCCCAGCTTTAAGACTAATTCAACCAGCAAGTTTCCCTGCAAATGCAATGTTTCAAAAAGACCATTTCCATTTTAATTCACGTAACATACCATATTAAATCCACATGACCAGTTCTCATTGAAGCCCAGGGTTCCTGTTTTCAGGCTGAGAAGACAACATGACAGGAGAGTAAGAGTTTGCTCACTAGCCCTGACTAATTCATCACATTGTAGAAGCTGAAACTACAACAGAAGTCGATGGCATTAGAGCTAAGCAACTTCCACTTAGTGAAACACTAGAAAAGAAACCCCACTGATATCTGGGCTCTCTTGAATGTACAGTTCGAGAAGGGCTGCAGACCAGCAGATACAGGGCACAGAGCAGCAGATACAGACCCACAACTCCCTTTGCGTGCATTTATTTTCCAAAGCCAGTGCTAAAGCCAACCTGCTGGAAACATTTGCCTTCTGCAGGCTTGCCGAAGCCCGGAGTTGATGCACGTTACGCTGGCTCTGCCAGCACTCACAGCAATTCATTCCAGTTTCTGGGAGGTAAATGCAGGCTGGCTTCAGCTCACGGATTCCCACGGCCAGCAGTGCCCAAGCCCCCGTCCTCCTTGGGGATGTGCCCTGGTTCCCTCCCACAAGAAACAGGGGTGGCACAGCCAGACCTCAAGGGAAACATTAGATGCCCAAGATGCAACTGAGGCTGGTGCCACAGGGAGAACACACACACGAGGACAAATGACTGGCCAAGTTAAGGACAAAGCTGCCACGAAAATGAACGGGGGTTGTCTTGTCTCCATTTCAGCAGGAGCAGGATGTAAAGCCCAGCTGCTCTGTAAAATCCAGCAGACCTGAAAATCTCCCCTCACAAGTGTGAGGGATCTCACACCCATTCACCCGTTTTCACATTAGACGTTTGTCATTAATAATTCCAGGCGGTGACACAAAGCAATTTGTTTATTCAGATCAACCTTTTAATCCCATCTCACCTTCAAAATAAATTACCAAATAAACTCTTCCACAAACTATGCTCTAAATCATGAGGTGGCCACAGGACAAAAACTTCCCACCAGAGAAAAGAAAAAAAAAACACCAACAACAACATTTTTTTGGAACTTGTTTTGGTTTCACCGATTTGCTTCTTCCCAAAACATTAGGATTCTGCAAAATTTTAATCTGACACAAAAATCAGAATGCAGTAAACAGCAGATTCTTTGCTCAATCACACAT